GGTAAGGCCCGCCTCACACCACACAATCCTCTCTCACTAGTTGGTACCCTGCCCGCACACATGCCACGCGCGCTGTGGTCCCGAGAGAGCGATCTCGAGCCGGATCTTAATCCGGTTCCCCGTGCAGTCGTTCACGACTCGACGAGATTGAGGCACCCGACCAGGATGGTCTAGATTCCACCTAGTACCTTCCAAGTTTCTTTCTGTAGATGGCTGAAGTCATCTTTAGTTAAGAAGCTACATCAACATGTTCATTTGTTCAAGCACCCTTTTGGGTTTTCACCTGAACTAGGTAAGAGTGGTGCCACAAGCATGGGTTTTACCAACTCCTTTCATTGAGGTTATTTTACCCGTGACCCTGAGGTCGTGTCCACCTTTAATTTCTGTTTTTACTCATGGTGCCCTTTTGGGTTTTCACCATGCCGGGATTTCCTTTTCAGGACTCTCTTACTCATGGTTTCATGGCCATGCCTACCTGTCATGTTTACTCATGGCACCCTTACGAGTTTTTATCATGCCCTTATTTCTTTAATCTTTCTTTGGCAGTTTTACCCATAGTTTCGTGACTAAGTCCAACTAAAAGTTGTCGTTTACTCATGATGGTTTTTGTTGGATGCTCGTCATGCCTGACTTCCCTTCCTTGACAAGGCATAGAATAGAGGAGTTATATTTGCATAAGGCTCCCTAGGTTAACAGGAACCTTAAGTGAGCTACAAGAGGATAGAGATGTGGCGTAGCCGCGTGTTTGTACGGGAAGGCACACCAAGGTTGCAATATACGCATGCTAGCGAAGGGTTGACCTTTTGACGTAGCCGTACGTTTCTAACGGACCCGCGAGCAGCTATAGCATTGTCAGGACGGCGAAGCGTTTTCGTGACGGAAGCGCGAGCAGATGAAGTGTTTAACGTGAGATACTAGAGAGCAAAAACATAACTATTACATATTTATATTGGATTTAGAAAGTTTTCCTGTATAATTGGCCACTTTGAAAGATTTCCATGATGATGTATTCATGTTTAAAACAAATGCTTCTACATATACATGTATATACACACAAATAAACAGGTAGCAAGATAGGTCCAACCCTAAAATCTACCCTGTAAACGAAACAAACACAGTGATCCTATCTCAATTTTTTTGCTATCATCCTTTGGCATCATGCAATGTCGCCTAGCAACTCCATTGACGAAACTTCAAGTGAGTGCTCTGATGTTCCATGTTCTTGTTCTCCTCCCATTCCTTCCAAAGGGTGAGTGCTGCAATGATCTGCCTTTGCTTTTCTCCTAAAGCTTCCCTGCTGCCTAAAACTTGCCTATCTCCTACACATGCAGTCTGGCACCGGGAAAGCGATGACATCTCTCGCAGCTTTGTCTGTGCGAAGCAAAGGGGAGCCTAACGAATTAACGTGCAAGTTCCTCAGAATCTCATCCATGTCCGCGTCCCTCAACCCCCAGGTGCTAATATTGGTGTTGAGGGTGGCCACCATGCCCCGCTTGTTTGGGGTAATGTGCTTCCTGTGCCCCAAATAAGCACGGTGCCCCTGTGATAGCAGCAGCCCAACCAAGCTCCCATGTTATATAGATTCTCATCGACCTCGCATTTATTGATATAAATATATAGATAGATAAATAGATAGATAGAAAGAGAGAATTTATTTATGTATATATACCTGTAATGCACGGGCCATGTTGCCTCCATGGTTGGCCATGAAGACTGTACTGCTAAGGGAGACAATGTAGTCGAGAGCGGCCATTGCAGAGGCCTTGCCCTCGAAGGGCCGGAGTTCATCGAGGGTGGCGAGGGTTCGCTTGTTGTGGATGATGGGGAAGTTGGAGCGCAATGGCTCTAAGGCTCTTTTGCCCCCAAAGGGATGCCCCCCAGCCCAGTATATTCTTGTACTCCTTGATGCACCTAATGCTTTCAGCAACCTGACCAAACAACCAAATGCCCATTATGTCCAAATGGCGTGATCCATATGCCATGGAACAGTGTGGTCATGAGGGACTTCTGGCCATCCAATCTATGGTTCAACGGCATTGAAAAGACTTGCAATGTACGACAAATTATTAAATTTATCAAAATTGAGGTGAAAGGATTTAGCGTCTCTAACCATTGGAACTCATGAACATGTGCTTTGATAGGTATTTTTAAATTAAATCAAAAGATATGGGTAGAATATTAAATAAATTATTTTTCATGGATGAAATTCTCTGTAGTAATAATTAGCTTAATGTGATCCACTCACTTCCATCACCATCCAACCCATTGATTAGGCCAATCAATGATGAGCCCCACCACAACTATATTGATGTCATGGTTCCTTACAATTATAATGGTTCCTTTCAATCGATAGCAGTAAGCAAAAAATATAGCTTTTTATGGAAAGAGACATGGGTCATGGTGGTAGCACCCCAACAACCCAATCACCACGTTATAGTTTTTATTCCCACTAATACCACCCCATTAACATCTTCAAACGTAACTTTTAAACTATTTGAAAAGAAAGATACTACAAAATACCTATAGACAAAAATAAACAGTGATTTATCTGCCATCATCACCATCCAAACTTCATCTCACGATAACAGTTGTCAGTTAGTGTTTCAATTTTCATTTGTTTTTTACTAATCGGAATGATCTGAAATTTGGAGCCTATGTACATCTCAGTGAGGTGCACCTAATAAAAATATGAAAAACATAATTCATAAAATATAAATTGATCAAAATACCCCTGTAAAGTTTCGGGGGTATTTTGGTTAATTTATATTTTACGAATTATTTTTTTCATAATTTTATTAAGTGCACAGCACTAAGATATATGCACACTCCAAATTTCAAGTAATTTGGATTTGTAGAAAATAAAATGAAATTTAAAAAAATACCGAACAACTGTGACCATACAATGAAGTTTTGATGGTGATGAGGGTAAGCAAAATCACTGTTCATTCTCGCCTATAGGCATTGGGAAGAGTTTTCCATTTGAACTCTCTCTCTCTCACACACCTGGTTGTTTCCATTGCAATGAGGGGGCAGAGTCCCTCGAGGTAGCGGCGGTGGGAGGTGAGGTTGGTGCGGGAGGTGAGGAGCTCAGGGTGTGCTATCCTCTCCCTTTCTACAATCCGGTCGAGCTCCTCACCCAGCCGAGGGGAGCAACCGGTTCGCACCCACACATCCTTTTCAAGCCTGAGGTGAAGGGCCAGGTACGGCCCCTCACTGCCCATTCTCTCCGCCAGCTTCCTCCCCATCTCCTCTATTTCAGCCCTGAACTTGAGAGCGTGAAAGGCAACCTGACACAAAACGCATCCTCTCACCAGAGTAAGAATCAAAGTGCCCAGATCAGAAAGAGAGAGAAGTTTGTATGCCATTGCCAACCAACCTTGCAACGAAGCTTTTGTAGATGAGAGGGCAGGTCCTTGGAGAGCCTGGAATCGAGCCCACGGAGGAGCAGTATGCCTCTTTTCTGGATCTGCCAAACTCCACCAATTAATCTCACTATCAATGCTGAGTGCCAAATATTCTGCAATTTTTTTCTTTAAGTAAAATTTGCATATCGAATGGAAGTAAGTTGCTGCATTAATACAATCCAAAACTTCGATCACTGTAATTTACCCTGAGGTCCTCTTTTTTCAATATCTTTTTTATTTTAATTTTGCACCTAGTTCGAGGTCAGTAATACAGAACCGCCTATATTTTTTTTTTATATTTTCAGTTTTTGGTTACGAATAAGGCGATAGAAAATGACCCACACTCAAACAGTTCGAACCACCAGACCTATAGTAATTCCGAGCGGCTAAAGGTGCCACTTTCAATAACTAAGAGTGAAATAATCAACCTATTGATATTGGAAGACAAAAAGGGTTCTTCCAATGTATTATTTCTGGACCCAATAGAAGTAATATTCCCTCTTGATGCGTACCATCCTAATGAAACATGTAAATATATTGGACCACTCCAAACATAAATTTTTTTGAAGTATGGAGCAGTTCGAACTACTACTAACCACTTCAAACTTAAAAATGTTTTCAAGTATGGAGCTGGTTAAAATTAGTACTTTACTCCGAAACGTTTTCAAGTATGGAGTAGTTTGATCGCGCAGTTTGAAGTTGCTATTTCGAACTACCCAAAAAATAGTGAGGTTACTAACATTGATTCGAGGTAAACTTTGAATAAAACGATGAAGAAAAAAGACGACCAAAAATGATCCAAATTCTGAACCATAATGTAATACCTTAACTTATTTCCAATATGCACGTAAATCCTTTTTTAAAAAATTGCAGGGAAAGCACAATAGACATGCCTGTGCAAGGTGTAAAATACATTTTCCATTTTCAACCAAGGTGGTTGTCCCTCACCAACTTACCTAAAAACAATAGGAAAGGGGCTGGGTCGCGGTGGTAGCATCCCCACACCTAGTTACCATGTTGTAGTTTTCATTTCTAGCATTAACACCACCCCACTAATACCATCAAAAAATATAACTCCTAATCTACCTAAAAAAATAGGTAGAGGGCCGTCTTCCCCACGAAATTACCCCAAGAAGAAAAAAAACTAAGGAGGTTGTAGACGTACAATTGTCATGTTCTACATAATCTATTTTAGTTTGACAAAATATGAAATATCTTTTAAAACATTATCAAAAGCTAGCAGATCGTTTAAGGCAGTACCGAATCTATACCGTACAATTAAGATGGACAATATAGATTATTGTAAACATACTTATACAAATAAGGTTGCCACCTTATAGAAATTTTATCTTATTTAAAGAATACAGTTAGACAAGGCCAACCTTACTTGTAGTTAGGGGTAGCAATGGTTCAGGTATGGGTTGGGTCCGACTTGACCCAGACCTAGACCCAAACCCAAATGTATTCGGGTCCAAATTTTAGACTCGGACCCGACTCGTCCAGTCCAAAAGTTGGACCCATACCTGTACCCGTTTGGTCCTGGATCTGGTCTAGTCCATTGCCGCCTTCACTATGAGTTTCTTTTTTCTGGTAGCCTACAATTGTGAACAACAGTTAATTAATTTTTGAGGGGTGGGCCATTAGATAGAGAGATAAAGACATTCAAGATCTAGAAAGAGAACTATGTCTCCAAGAAACTGAGAGAGGGAGAATTGCAGAGAGGAAGAATGGCGATGGGGTTTGACCGTTTGAAGAACTAGGGGAAGACGAAAAGTATTGAAATGATTTTAGGGCTGAGGCTTTGGCCTTTGGGTAAACTAAAAATTTGAGTCCACGTACCCTCCGGGTTGGGTATAGTAGGACCCGGACCCGGACCCGGACCCTGACCCGGACCCGAGACTACCTAGGTAACCTTTATTGGACCCGGACCCTACCTCGAGTCAAAAACTTGGACCCATACCAAGACCCGTGCCTGATAAACCCGTTGGGCATGGGTCGGGTCCAGGTCCATTGCCACCCCTACTTATAGTGTTCCACAGCTGTTTTTGTTGGACAGTGTAGATTTAAAACTTGTTTTTTTGTTTTTTTTTCCATGCTATCTCAATAAGTGTATCCAATATACACCAGTTTTTTAGACATGCCAAAATTTGTCAATCATACAAAAATCTCAGATTGAACAACATAGAACCCGACAACCTTACTTAACTTTTTTATTTTTTTAAATGGTAATCCTGCAACTTTACTTCAACAAATAAGCTTGCTGCCTTACATAAAATCTTTCCTTAATTAAATGGGATTGGCTAATGGCATGTATGCTTCAACTTAGGAAGGGATTAAGACATAATTTATAAAGATTAATTATAACATAAACATTAATAAATTTTTGTGATTTCCATTCGATTTTAAGTCATACAGTGAAATTTATTTAACATCTCAGCAATTAATTTTTTAAATTTTCAAGTTCAATTTTATTTCCTAGATTTTGAGCTCACTTATCGTAATCTGACATCCGTCAAAATGCGTGATCGAGATTCAGCCTTGGAAAGGCTTGTGCTTTGAACTTTTTTTTACTTTAGAACTCCATTTTTTTTTTTTATTATTTTATGCGTATTTTGAAAAACACAAATTTTGAAGGAGATGAAGATGATTCTAGAGCATAAGAATGATCGCCCCTATCTAGGTGTTTAACCTGTGGGACGAATCTACAATTTGGTCCAGCAGGTCGAACATTTGAGTTGAACGTTGCAACCATTTTCTATTCACAAGAAACCCGAGAATGTCTCATTTGGTTTTTTGGAAGTGTAACCCTCACCAATCCGACAGCCGAGATCATTTCTTCCAACGGAAAATCACCGTTGAGATGACTTCAGTTATGTCAATGCTTCCGTCATCAGGAATGGGACTAGGGTCGCGGTAGTAACACCCCACGTCCTAGTGAGCATATTGGTTTTGATTCCTGCAAATAATACCACCCTACTAACACTTTTAAAAAGCGAACTTTTAATCTATTTGAAATACGGGTAGAGACCTCTTTCCCACCAAATTACCTAAAAATTTAAAAAAAACAAATGCCTCCCTCATCTAAAAAACAAAATGTCAAATTGTTTTTAAAATAAATCTAAATAACACAGGCAAAATTTATTTAAAATATTGATGTAGAAGAAATGTATTCAGTTGGAAATATTAAAAAAATCCAGAAAAAGAAGGAAATATAAAAATAGGGCATACGCTAAGAAACACTCACACATCATCTTCGAAAACATTAGAAATATATATAAAATAAATAATTATACATTGCTTGTACAAATTTAACATAATTTTTATCATTTTTTTATATTATATAACCTCGAGTTTACCCAAGTACTCTGCTCAGCAAGGACTGAGTCCAAGTAATTCGGCTGAGACGGAGTCCGTGGACCACCAGTGCGGATATATACAATTCCCAACTCCTTTTTCACCAACCTGAGACTTGTTTCGTTTTCAAAAACTTAGTTATCCTCGCTACCACCAGATAATGACTGCAATGGATATAACCAAAGGCGCTATTTTGTTGTGGAAAGATGGAATTAATAAACAAAAATGTGCGGAAAGAAATCAATCTTACAAAAAATAAAAAATAATAATGGGCCACAATTAATCATAGGACATCATATGTAAAATCAAGTGGTTCAGGGTAGATATTGACTAATTAAACTCCGAAACTCTTTCTTGAATCGGACTCTGAACTGCTACTTTTATACCAAAAATAAATGGTCTTATAGCATACAATTTGTATAATAAAAGAACTCACAGGGTCGAGGTAATGCGCTTTAATCCAGTTATCGTCGACATTGGAAGAGGCAAGCTGGTCGGCGACAGGGCGAATTCTTAAGCGATTGGAGGGAAGGGATGAGACCACACGAACATGGTTTCTGAGGGTGCGCTTGAAGTGCGCCTCATCGAATATGTCTGAGAATTCGCTGCAATTCACTAACATATTCCAGTTTCAGGCCAAGGATCACAAACACACTAACCATAAACCCTAACTCTTTCGTAAAGAGAAAAGAGGAGATTAAGTCACGAGAGGGAATAAGAGAACCTCATGTAATGGCGCAAGATATCAACAAAAAGATAATGCCATAGAAAGAGAAAAGAGAGAGAGTCTCACCTGTCATCTCCCCAAATAGCATTAAGTTGCAGTATGGGGACAACAAGCGTGGCCTCCAGTATTCTTGCTATTACAACGGCATCCACAATTTGGTTCCTCTGCTGGTTTAAACCACCCGAGACCACCACCATCAAATACTTTCCCCTCCTCCTCTTTCGCTCCCCCGAAACCGGCTCGGAATCCTCCTTGTACTCCTCGCTGAAATTCAAACACGGCCTGTAACCAAGTCCATCAGGCTGTTTCCAAAACCCTTCTCTCTCTTCAATTTCGCCAATTCTCTCTCTCCAGGGCCAACCAGCCGAAGACTCTCTCTCTAACCGAGAGTCGTCCTCTCCATTGAAGAAGAAACCACCGTCGTCGTTAGAGCAACCGGCCATCGGTGGTTTTTGCGAGAAACCGAACCTGAAAATGCTGAAGCTCGCACAAAACACCAGCAAAACTAGCCATACTCCATGATTTCTGCGACGAATGAATGCTGAAGCCAAATATGAAGAGAGAGAAAGTGTTGGTGGCCATGGTTTTGGCTTGTCGATAGATTTTTGGACCCAAATGTAAGAAGAAAACATTTTGAAGGAACTGTGGCCTTTCATTAGCGCCATGAAGAACATACATTCTGAGGAGAGGTTTTTTATGAGAAAGCAAGATACATTTGAGGTAATCTAGAGAGAGAGAGGTAGAGAGATGGAAGACGCAACGCCACCGCGTGCAATTCGTGGGACTGAAAACAGGGACGCTCTGCCGAACTATTAGTGGGAAATGACTAAATGCTCCTGAACTTTTTATTCAAATGCTTTAGAATGCCCATCTTTTGTAGTGGGTTAGGAGAAAGGTTAGGTGGTATTTCTGTCATTTTTCATAGGTTTCGTGTTTGGCAAGTCAATGAGCGGGCTCTTTTTGATTTGAAAGGAAGAGAGAGAATGGAATTTTGACTTGGAAGGAAGAGAGAGAATGGAATTTAGATTCGGAGGAAAGAGAGAGAGGGGGGGATTGGCGTAGTGTAATGTTTGTGGGGTTGCGATTTGTTGGGGGAATCATGAGCCGTCAGATTCTTTAAGAAAATCGAATTAATGGGCTGGATCGACCTGGATTTTAATATATTTTTTATTCTTTGGATCTTACCTCGCACGCCACATGGTTAAGGCTCGGCTTGAGCCCCGACTCTATGTTCTAAAATAAGATAATGGAGAATACATAATGAAGTACATTTGATCCGTCTGCCAAAACACTATCTAAATGACCGGACTTTGTTCGGGCCGGGCCAAGGTATTTTTGAGTTTATCGGGCCAGTCGGCCCTTTTGGCACAACTCCGGCCTTTTCCACGCCAAACCACTAAAAGCCCGGCCCGGCCTGATAATCACTTTTGTCCATACCAGCCCAGACTGGCTTGACCCGACCTGAAGCTTATTGGCGCCCCTTTGGAGGCCCGGTCTAGAAGCCCAGCCTGGTTCATTAACGGCCTTTTGTCTAAGTAGTTTTAGGACACCAAAATTTGGAGATATGGTCTGCTCGACCAAACATCGAACCTAAGGATAGATTTGAATTTGTTGAAAAATATAACCCCATAATTGGTCAGTTAGAAGAGTTTTATGCTTGAATTTAGTGGTTCAGTGAGTGTATAGTAGATCCCAAATTTTGTCTTTTGCCAAAGGTTACAAATGTAGCATTTTTTCCAGCAAAGGCATTTATAAGCGCCAGTTTTTTTAAAATTTTAGAAAGAATTGGTATATTATCCGCATGATGCTTAAATAGACAAGAATCATACAACTGTTCATGTTAATAGAATGGACATAGATGAACATGATTTCATGTAGTTTTTATAATTTTGTTTATTTTACATATATCGATCGATAGGGAATTTGGAAGGTGTGTATACTAAATTTAGATCCACATAAAAAATTAAATATGATTCAAAAAAACAAATTCTATAAAATATATTTAAATATGAAGCTTTTTTGGTCAATTTAGTTGTTGTAAATTTATTTTTTAATATTATTTTTTATGTAAGCCTTGTCAGAAGTGCGGACACCCAAAATATCAAGTTCATATAATTTGCATAAAAATATTACAAAATTTAAAACCATAATACACTACATGTAAACGTAATACAAAAAAATAAAAATAAAATAAAAAAAGTTCACTTTTTTTTTTCTTTTCATGGGATTCCTTACTGACAATAGTTGAATTCTATTCTCATATCAAGTGTTACTATTACGTTCCATCATTTCAAAGGGCATTACATTTTCTAAACATATTGTACGATTATGATTTCCTGCCTTTATAGGTAATGGTTTCCTCAGGTTAGCTATCTTTGATAAAAGTCACACAATAAATATGCGTGTCCCCAATTTGTTACCTGTTTTCTCATAAAAAAAAGTGACTGATTATCTATGTTCTTCTTTTTCGATTGTGTTTACAACCAAATCCAGGAGAATCTCAAATGAAATTCTTTGTGATTTATTTTTCAAACTAAACAATTAAAATATTAGGACAAAGTAGTGGGATCCTTTGAATTACAGCACATGAGAAGACGGATATGCAGAAGCAAATCTTCTCTCCATACACCGTTAGTAGATCTGACTTGAAATCATGAAAAATGCAAATAGCAAACCATAAAAACATACAGAACATAAAATAATTTGAAATTCAAACTAAATTAAAGAAACAGAGAAAACTTGCCTAAATCCTAACCAGATGGCTTGGGATGCCCAAAACCTAGAGTTGGGACACGTATGAGATTGCAGGTTGATTTACTCTGTCTTCCTTCTCTTATCTTGAAGGATTTTTTGAATTGTACCAAGGGCATTTTACTCCTAGTGTTTGATTTGCTTAGGGCATTATCCTCCTAAGGCTTTTCTCAAATACTGGTTTAATAGTTGTCTTTGGTTGAGAATTATAATTTGGCTTGTGGTTAAGTCTTCTAGGTTTTTTTTTGGGTTTCCTAGCTCTAGGGATTGTTCTAGACTCTATGGTTTCTAGGATTCTAGGGTTTCTAGAGTTCTTAGGTTTTTATGGTTTGCTCGAGCATAAGGGATTTTCTCTCTAAATCTAGGAAATTTCTTTAGGATTTTTAAATATTTTTTTATTATGAATCAAAGGAGCTAGAGAGGGTTTATATAGGCTTTAATTAGGCTCTAATTTGATTTGGATTAGGAGTTCTAATTAACTTAAGATTAGGGTTTCTATGTTTTAATTGGTCAATACTCAAAATCTGTCTATGATCTAAAATCCAAGAACATTCTAGAAATTCCTAGAAACATCTAGAACTTTCTAGAAATTTCTTAAAGATTCCTAAGGCTAACATCTGGTAACGACACATCGCATGTCGGGCCTGCTTAGTCGAGCAACGCCCCCAGTGTCACTGATCCATATCAACCTTCGATTGATGTTGTAGACCCTGCTAAATCTAGCCATGGGGTCCAGTCACATTCAGAGGCTTTTTGGATCTGACGATTTGAGGTTTTCTGATTTTTGCATTGTTCTTGATAAACTTGGACGGATTTGAATAGATTTTGATAGGAATTAGCAGTTTGACTGGATTTAGGTATATTTGGTGCCTTTCCTAAAAATTATAGACTATATATAGGCTATGGTGCACTAAAGTTTACTAAGGTTGGTATCATCTGTATGATTCAAGATTATTGGTTTTAGGGAATTAAAGAAATTAGCCAATTTCAAATTGAGTATCTATATATTGTTATATCCATCTTACTATTTTTTTGGAAAATCTCTAGTTTGATTTTCTTCTGAGTCTTTGAGATCAACTTGTTTGGTATTGAAAAATGGAAATAGAGAAAAAGTCAATAATAATAAGGCTAAAACTGATGACATTCAACAACAATTGGTTCCTCACTGACTCAAAGAAAATGGGGTTATGGCTTCAAATAAGAAGAGTTATAACTGAACAAAGAAATGATTGCACTGAAATTTCAGCCCTAAGCTAGCAATAGATTTGAAATGAAAGGAAAAACATACTTTGTTTATAAGCTCAAGCAAGCTTATATGGGTCCAAATAAGCCTTTTGGCAGTGATACACGAAAATTGATTCATTTATGATGAATTGTGGGATCAAGCGTAAAGTTTTAGACCAGCGTTTAAAAAATCCCCGAGTCGAACT